GATTACCTCATGCTTCACGTTGTCGAATGCTCCTTTAAGATCCAAGGCCAGGACTACCTTGTCATTGTGGGGGCATTCAACAGGATCTAATATGTCATGGTGGAGCTGTAGAAGTATATCCTGGGCTGACTTCCGAGGGCGGAATCCAAACATGGTGTCCGCAAAAGTGTGCTGTGTTTCTAGAAACTCGGAGAGTCTGTCGCGCACCATCGTTTCCATCAGCTTGCCGACACAAGACGTGAGGGAGATGGGGCGAAGGTTCTCCACGTCAATAGGTTTACCTGCCTTCGGGATGAAGGTCACGAGAGCTGATTTCCATTCAAGAGGGAGAGGAATTTCTCCGTCCCAAATGCTATTGATGTATTTGAGGAGCGTGGCGTAGGCTGCGTCGGGAAGATTGGCCAACAGTTTGACCGTAACCTGGTCACGCCCTGGTGCAGTGCCACGCTTCATCTTGCGTAAGGCCGCCTGGAGGTCGTGGAGCTGGAACGGGGTGTCCAACTGCGTGTTCTTTTTGCCTGCGTAGGAGTATGCGGCCGTCCGGGGGTCCTTGGTGGTGCACAGGTATCGGTCCCTGAGCGTGTTTGCCAGCTGTGTTGTCGTTCCTGTAAAGTTGTGCATGACCTTATGTAAGTGACGTTGAGTTTCCGTGCGTGTTTGTGTTGGATCGATGAGAGCGCGAAACAGGCGCCACGTGTTGCGACCAGACATCTGGCGTGCAGCCGTGTTGCACCTGTCCACCCAGTTAGTGTCGGCTAGCTGAGCAGCATATTCCGCAGCTTGCTCCGTGAGTTCTAGGATGCGTTTCTTGAGGCGTCTGTTATGTTTCTGTTTTTTCCATCGTTTGGTGAGGCTGCGGCGGGCCTGCCAAAGATGGAGGAGGTGGTTGTCCACGTCCGTTTGAGTTTCCGTGAGCTGTATCAGCTGTTCGTGTTGTTTCAGTGTAGACGTCAGTGATTTAGACCAGGTGTCGTATCCCGACTGGAGAGGGTCTACAATAGGTAGAGTGGTGCGGAAAGTTGTCCAGTCTGGGATACGAGCTTGTGTAAGTGGGCGTTTTAAGGGACGCATGTACGCAGTTGTGTTTAATACACAATGATCACTACCGAGAGTGTCCTGTGTGTTCAGCCAGTCGGCATGGCGTATGTTGCGTGTAATTGTGAGGTCCGGGCAAGTATCTCGTTGAACAGAGTTGCCTACACGTGTTGGGCTGGCGGGATCAGTGTGGAGGGTGAGTCCAAGTGTAGAAAGAAGTTCCGCAAGCTTCCTTCCACGCGTGTCCTCTCGTGGGTAACCCCATAACCTGCTTGGGGCATTGAAGTCGCCGACGATCAGGAGGGGGGTCCCGTCCTGCCACCTGCATAGCTTGTGTGAAAGTTTCGCTGAACGTGACGTTCTTAAGCTTTGGGGGACAGTAAATGTTTAAAATATGAACAGGTGGGTCAGATCGCCTTATAGGCAGCACCGACACCATTGTGTATGGGAAAGGCGGTGTTGTGGGGAGTGTGACTTCCTGGGCGGTATATTGCTTGTGAACAAGTATACATGTCTCCGGGTTGTGTTGAAATGTAGTGTAATTTGTGAGTTTGACGTCCGAGCCGGGTTCCTGAAGGGCAACCACGGCAACAAGGAACTCAAAGGTCTCAAGATAGAGGCGGAAATGTGCCCGCTTCTTGTGGTTCTTGAGACCTCTGCAGTTCCACTGTGTTAGTAACAACGGCTGAGTTGCTCTGGCTCGCGACCTAGGGTTGGAGGCCATGTTCGGAGATGGAGGGTGGGGTTGTGTTGTTAAGATTACTCAGTTCACCAGCACCCTGTGCTGACGTACTGGAGTCTTCAGAAAAGTCCGACTCATCTGGAGTCACTCTGTTAAATTTTGAGGGGCGATTAACGTCCCTAATTGGCCCTACGCGCTTGAGGACACGTGGATTGTCTTGTATCCACTTTTGGATAATGTGAGTTACTGTTTGTGTCACCTGTGCGATGACAGTCTCCATATGACGCGCGATGGTGTCGTGGATAATTTTGGGGAGGTCGGCCAATTGTGTTTCTATTGCATTCACCTGGGTCTCCAGGGCCGCGACGCGACTCTCTACAGTAGTAGGAATCTCCCTGTCTGTTATATTTTCCTCTTCGTCGCTCAACGAGGGCTTAGTAGTGAGATTGGTTTTGAGCGAGTCAAGTTCGCTGGCTAGTTTTTCATTCTGAGATCGCAAAAGGGCGAGCTCATGCCTGAGTTTTTGTGTTTCGGTAGTGCTTGTGGCAGAAGAAGGTGGAGAGGAGAGAGAGGAGGGAGAGGAGGCGACCTCCACCCAACTGCCCACCTTGGGTTGGTTGCGTGCAGCGTTGCCAGATGGAGCGCCGAGAGCTGGAGATTCCGCCGCGCCAGGTGGCAGCGTTGCCGTTGCTGCTTTGCCAGGAATTGGCACTTTGCCAGTTGACCGGTGCTTTGGTTTTGTTGGGGTCCCCGATGTCCTGGACCCTGGTTGCTGAAGCCTGATGAATTTTTCAGTGCATTCGCGGGAGCTGGTGAGGTGCGGACCCCCGCAAACTATGCACGTTGGGTTGCATTCGTGGGGGGCCATCCCCTCAGGACCAGCGCCCACGTTTTGGCCACAAAGGCTGCATCTTTCGGTGACCGGGTTGGGACATATATCCGCCCGGTGCCCCAGTGCACCACAGCGGTAGCACGCTGGCACTGTCTTCTTGTACTCCCTGACGGGAGTCAGTTCTGCGTTATAGTGGACGAAACGCGGAACCTTCCTTCCCGCGAAAGTCAACACAGCTACGTTGGAGTTCCCCAGCTTGCGCGCATAGACTAGTTTACCGCCACGCCACTGCACACTATGTTTCAGAGACGCACTGGTTTCGAGGTTGTGCACAGAAATCACGCCGCGACACACATCACCGGTGAGCTTGAGGTGACCGCGAAGCGGCAGCGGTCCTTTGCTGGTGTTGATTTGAAAGTCCGACAGCAGTTTCTGAACCACCTCGTTATTCTGCGTGCCACAGATGATGATGTTTTGCTCCCAATTGGGAGAAATGCTGATGTCATTCATGTGCTGCCTTCCGATGAGTTGGGAAATGGCAGCGCCGAGCTCACCTTGTTGAAACGCTGCCTTGAGGGCTACTGTGATGCGTGGCTTGAGCACGATCACGTAGTCGCCAGGATTCATCCTGACCGTTGGTTTCGGCGTCCACTTGGAGACTGGTGAAGTCTTTTGTGGAGCTTTAGGAGATGGAGCGCGAGCGTCTCCAGTGGCTGAATTGTTGAGAGGAGTTTTCAGTGCAGACGCTCCTTCCGCGTTTCTTCGGCGGCGACGCCGACCCTCGACGAGTTGAAAAATGTCGGCTTGCTCCGCCGAAATGGTGGATGGGCCGTCGTCTGATGGATTGGTCGGGATATACGACCACGACAGAGTCGTAGGGTCGTAGCCACGTAGTTCAGGCAGCGCCATGTTGAGGAGTTGACCGAGCGGCGTCTCCGCATCCAGCAGCGGCGGAGCCGCCGCCGTGAGGCTTAGCTCGTTCGCTACGTTGTGATGCAAAGTTGCTCGAAGTGGCCGAAAATTGGGCGTACCTGGGTGAGATCGGTGTCCCCAGAATCTTGCTGACTTGGCAGATGCAGTCACACAAGTTTTAGAGCAGCCACATTGAAGAGAGCACGGTTCCAGCCGAAAATCGACGGAGCCGATGAGCGTCGCGTCCGATCACTTCGCGAAGCGCCCGCGTCTCCCACGGAGACGTACGCGGCCGGCGGGGACGCCGACCAGCCCGAACACGCGGGTTGGCGCGAAGCGCCGAAGGAAAGAACAACAACCGCACTCCACGGTTACCCAACACACACTCGTTTTATTTTACAGTCGCCTTGAAATCCTAGATGCCAGAGCGGCGCCCCCTGGCATCCTCGCATGTCATTCCGAAACCGAAAACCCAGAACACAACAAGAACTGCACCTATTTTTCCGAAAAAAAGCTTTCAACTAAGACTTTCAAAAGCCCTTGCAGGCTACGGCGACCACTGTTTCCAGCCAAGTATGCCTTGAGCTCCTTGTTTTTTGATTCTGTTCCGTTGTTTGTGCCAAAAGAGAGGTCCAACCTGTACTTTTTCACCCACATTTCTTTTACTGAAAGCCACTTACTACTTAGATGGGCTTGCAGCTTCTTGTTTCCCTTCCATTGTTGTGACTCCTTCAAAGCTTCAATTGCTTTGGTCAAGTAACTCTCGTTTGTATTGGCTGCTACTTGCCTCAGCATTTTCTTAATATCGTCAACATCTTGTACTTCATTTTCTTTTTTCGAAAGCCACCTGTGGCAAGCCTGCTCTCGGTGAAAGTCACATAAGACTGGCCTACTCTTCGGGAAGGCAACAGAAAGTGCACTGATCTCTGCCTGGCTATAGTCCACCATCCAAAACTTAGGACTTATGGTTGAATTCCAGGCCTTCAAGATGTTTAGTGCCTCTTCGATGCAGAGAGCTGTTTCAAATTGTACAATGAAAGCACCTGCAACAGCATAGCAACTTGAAGTTTTCACCACAATAAGGAAGAGCGGAATTGCATAATCCGTTGTTTTGTATGTAGCATCAAGACATACGACAACATCACTGTACTTAAGTATCAACTCCTTCATGAACTCAGTCTGAATGCAAAGCAGCAGTGTCTGCTCGCATTCCTGTGCCAGAGTTTCTAAAGTGTCACAATCAAGTAACTCGGCCTGCGGTTTCTTTTGCCCATCAGGATCATTTTCCAGAGACATGGCATGATAGGCTCGGAAAAAACATCTTGTTTCAGTGCTTTCTCTTTCATTTGTTCTATATACACTGCCACATTCTCTTGATCAAGTGAATTAAATCTGTCCTTACGAAGTGCCCTCTGAATATGATTTTTTATGTCTGTCTTCGTAGAGTAAAAGTCTCTGCAAGTAGATGGGGGGCACTGCTTGTTTGAGAACAGTACATCTCAGACAAAATACCTTAGGCAGCTCTCAACAGTTTTTACAGATGTCACACCTTGTTGTACAAGCTCACAAATTTTTTTGGACACTTCTGAATTTATCGGCTGTGCGTAGCCTGCCCAGCGAGCATCAATGTCATGATTAGAGTGGCTTTCCCTGTCGGACATACAGACATAGAAGGGATGCTGGTGCAGAACAGGTTTACCACTAGCTTCTTCTTGCAATGCCAACCTCAGTCGAGAGATCATTTCCTTTGAAGCTGTTTCGTGCTGCCATTTGGTACATGGTTGTGGGATGTTGATCTAAATATAAAAGAAAAGAGCAAATGATAAACAGCGTAAAAGAAATTAGGTTGTTCCCAAAATTGGCTGCAAAAATGGGAACCTCTTTCAGTGGTAGAAAATAGAGGTGCATTTGACATATGAAAGCAGAGAAGACATGACAAATGAAGCACGTAGGCATTAGAAAGCTGTGTTTTATAACGGTTTTATATGCACTGCCATGCATTTTTTACTCATGAATACTGCACTTCAGTGCTGTAAACACTAAAGAGCAGTTAAATTTTTCAATGGCGCTCGACTGACACTTTCATAGGTAGCATGAAGTGCTAAAACCTTGCAGCAATGATTGCAGTATCAATACATAGAGATCCAAGTAAAACACACCAAACAACAGTAACAAGAAAAAATTTGCACATTCACGCACCAATCGAGTGAATTATAAAGTGATGACTGCCCACGAAACCAACAAACCTGTTTCTCAAGAAGTATTGCAAGATGTGTGTGCAACACTCTTGTTGCTTCTTGGTCCTAGTAACATGCGCAAACAATTGTGCTGCGAAATGTAACTCTTGCACAGACCTAGTGTGTTAAAACAAGTGTAGTTAAAGATATAACCCACTTCAACGAGCATTCTTGGGATTATAGAGTGATTTTCACGGCATAAAGAATGATTTATAAAATAAGTACTTACATTCACCAACTAAATAACGTTTCATGCAGTGATTTCAAAAAGAGTTAACAGTTCAAGCTGTAAAACTTGTAGGTTGAATAATTGTCCACACAGCATTTTCAAAAATACAGGGCGTGCAAACACGGACACAAGAAAAAAGTCAGGAGACCGCAAACTTATCAATAATATAATGAATACCTACCACTATAATGAATGCTTACCAACTAGCTCAGCTCTCTGTTATTCTAGGTTTCAAAATTACGTATGCATCATTGAAACAGGTGTGCATAAAATTTAAAGGTGCCCATACTCGTAAACTTTATTCAGCCATTTTGGCCACAATCAATAAAAGACACATTTCTGCACAGAATGAGGAGCAAAAAGTGTAATTCAGTATTACCTGTGCAATGCACATGCATTATCAAAAACATGTATATCATGGTGCATGTTTCAAGCCACAAGGCGCGTTGTTGGGCTATTTGGTTTTGATCCATGAAACTGGTGTAGCGCGCAACCACAAGGACAAAGGAAGAGACACACACACACACAGCGCTACAGATTCAAGCCACAGATTGCTTTCACTAATTTAACACAAACTACTACTAGTTTGTGGATGTCTCCAATTTTAACTTCAGTATTGATTAAAGCCAACAAGTAATATAACAGGCTATATGTGTTCGTTTTTCTGTTTACCCTGAATTCCGGATACAACTCTACTTGTTTCACATGCATCGTTGCAGTGCACACCTTCTTTGTCCCCTGTAGCTTCAACTTTTTTCGCTGGAAGGTAGCTGCTGACCAGTCGGCATGCTTCTCCTATTGCATGAAATGAGATATGGAACATCAGTATGCAACAAATAATGGCAATCATACATGGATTAGAGGAAGTAGTTTGTGTTTTGGCATTATAAATTCACTTAGGAGCAGCTCTCCACGTCTCCACTTGGGTACAGGTGCCACAGTACTTGGCTCACATTTAAATTAGCATTATGGCTTAACCCTCCCTTGTCCCCTCCCCATAAAATGAATCCCCTGGGTTTTATAACAAACATAAAAGTGCATACCACAAGAAATGCTAATAGGGCTGTATGTTTAATCATTTTAACCTGAATATTACCCTCCTTTAAGTAATTACTGTTTTATCTAGCTTTATTGATGAACAGGCGTATTACCGAAAGAGAAAAAAAAACTGCATTGATATTTCTTTGCCAAAGACCGATTATTTTCAAAGATGTTCACTTTAACATTATTCGATGCCCCATGTGCTACTCATTTATGGATTTCGTGTCGCTCTGCAACTGCAGCAGTTGTACGAGTTTCGCTGTTACAATTTTACATGCACTCAGCAATGACAGACAGCACTGGAAGTCCAGCTGTTAGAATACGGCTCACTTGGTTCCAGTATCAAAGAATGTCACATTTTAGGCAAGCGTTTTTCACTAATATCTGGTAATACGTACCTCGATCGCTATGAAAACGTTAATCGGTCGATAAACAGATGAAACTTTTATGTCCTATATAATAACTAAATAAAAGTAAAATCTGCCAAATAATTAATAAACGTTAACGATGTCGATCAGCGTGGGTTTGCTCTTTTGTTTCCCTACAGTGATGTGGTCGTGAAGGCATGTCACTGTGAATGCGCATCAGCAGGATTTCGTGCGACGTACCAATACTTGCACGCTTCAATGCGAAAAAGATATGAGTGCATGTGACAAATTAAACTATCCGTATCGGCTCGAGGGATGTGTCCGTGCGAATGTTACCTGTCGATTTCTTGAATTCTGCACCTTGTGCAGGTCTCTCTCAAAGAGGCAGCCTCTGTCCGTGGTCTGGACAACCTTAAAAGGGATGTCTTCATTTGTGACCACATATCCGCGTTGAGTGCTGAACATCAGCCTGCCTGCACAGATAAAATAAATCTTTACATCATCCGTCCCAACGTGGGAGGAGCCCACTGTGCGCTAGTCGCATCTCTCAGGACTCTTAATATAAAAGTTTGACCATCCATCCATCCATCCATCACGCACCATCCTGAGGCGGCACATACGCGCTACATATTTGCGATGAACATACCTTTTGGCTTCACGGAGTGCTCAGTCTGGAAGCACACATTGACAGCGGCGAGTTCCCTTAAAAGCTCTTCGTATGCCTCTCTGCAGTCAGCATAGCCGGTCCACGTGTTTCCACACTTCTTCAAGTCCCGTAGGTGCCTCCTTAATGCACCTTCTTCAGGTGATATCGCCACTGCAGGCTCCATAGAGCCCCGTGCCGCAGGTAAAGTGGCACGGAATCTGCTCTCAACAAGTGGTGAGCGTAGTCACAGCGGCCAAGCGGGGCTATCGCGCTATTACACGCCCGACATGCCTGTGCTCGGCCAACACTATTCGGCTCGGCAACGCTCGCAAAGAGCGTCTCCGTTGCTAGGCGACGGCCACGCATGCGCAAAAGAGACGCATGTGGAACGTACTGCAAAGCAACGTTTCTAGATTAGGTAATAAGTTGCAAAACTCCCCGCGTCAGACTACTCGTCACACGGCGCCGGGACAGCTTCCGGTTTGGTGGCACTGACGGCGCAACAAGCTTCCGCTAGCAGACGAAAATGCGTGGTCGTCGTGGCAAGACGCCGTGGCGGCCGTTCTGAAAGAGCTTTGCCAACAGTTTATTATCGAGATTTGTTGTGCTGCCGCAGAAACTTAATACTGCGTAATATTCAGTGGTGTAAGGCAAATACAGTATAATTATGTTTTTCTAAACTGCCCACAATAAACAATGCTTGATATATATAGCATAACATACGAGTCTGTAGGTTAGTTGCTAGTTGGTGTACGTTCGCAATAGATTTTTAGACGCGAAAAACCCAATTACAATGTCTGGCATCCTCTTTTGTGGCTGTGTTTTTCGGGCTTGAAAATAAATTACAACTATGTGGCGCAATCTTGTGGCTTTTGTCTGGTTAAGTAGTCAGCTTTTTTTTTTTTTTCATGCCAGTCACATTCTTTAGCAACTTAGACCGTCGAAAAGCTACGCGTGCGGTCATTTTGTTGAGCATGTCTTCCCTCTGCTTCTTCTGGAGTGGAGTTCCTCTAATGAAACCTGTTAACACAGCTGCAGCCAAAGCTTCGAGCAGAGACCGCACTTTGGGGTATCGGTGAGCACTTCGTAGTCATTACTCACGAGTCTGCCTGCTAACGCATAGGGACAACATGAACACACTTGCAGCTTTTCTAGGTTCTCCAGAAGTTCTGCTCATTGGATGATGGTATCTGCTTTGCCAGACGACTTGGCTAAGCGATAGTGACGGCTGCTAATGGTGACTGTCATGTCTTCTGCGACGACAACGCATTTCTCCACAAATAGCGCTCTTTTTTTTTCTTTGAGCCCTAGAAACACCACACTACGTTTTTCTCGCCATTCTCAACAATTAACGTTCCACCAGCATGCCAAAAAAAAAAAAACGTTTTCTATGTCTTGAAGCGAAATGACGCCACTACTTGACGGCATGTCGAGATTTATCACTGTCTTCGACCTCAGTGCTCGGAGATAGTCTATTCGTTTTCGCCGATAATATTCTAGAAAGTACCCCACTCCTATCGGGCAGCTTTCGCTTCTTGGTCGCGGGCCCCGCGACAAAGGTAAGCGGGCAAATTCGGGAATATTCGTGGAACGCATCCTTCGACGAGGTCCCATTTTCCTCTTGCGATTTGTACCTTCTTACCATATGACGTGAGTGAAAGTCTTCAGGATGTTCATGATAATAAGGGTTGCAGCGCGAGCACGAATGTGCTAGAAAAAACAGACGAAAGTCGAGGTATGGAAGGCAAAGAGGACAACACCTTCCATACCTCGACTTTCGTCTGTTTTTTCTAGCACATTCGTGCTCGCGCTGCAACCCTTTTTATCATGAACTCAAACCAACTAGCCCAAATCGCCATTCTTCTTCAGGATGTCCTTCTCATGAAAGTGCATATCACACACACGTGAGGTGCTGGGCAGTTTCTTATCCGCACGATGGTTATAGCGTGGTACCATACCTCTCGCTGCTCAGGTACACGTGAGCACAAAAGAAATGTCGTGGTGTCTCTCATTTCCCGTAGCTACTCTACAGCCGAGAACGCAACATCCGGGCATGATGAGAACATGCAACACATTCAAAGCAGTAAAGGGCGCGCTACAGCACAAAAATGTTGCATGCAGTGAGTGAATCTGGATGCGACATCAGCGCCACATTTGTCGCTGGCAGCGGCCGCGCCGCGCAACATCGCTCAGTTTTGCAACTTACCTAGTCTTGAAATGTTGCTGCAAAGAACCTCTCCCCTCTTGGCGCGCACGGAGGAAGGTCACAGAACACCTACTACGCATGTGGTGGCACGGGTGTGTGGGATGAGCTGTACGCGATCGCGAGCTGTACACATCTGTGTTGAGCTGGACGTGCGCTGATTGAGGTGTCCTTGTAGTGGGCGTGGGCACTGCGATTGAGCTTATCGTTGCTCATGCGCTTGACGAACGCGGACGGTGTTTACAGCGCTTGAACTTGCACTAGGGTCCTTGCACTAGATACCATATTTGCACTGTTACTACGTGCTTCAGCGTTATTTTTGTGATTGCTAATATTTGATTTGTGTGTGAGGTGGCAGCGTTCGTTGTACAAATTTTACCGAGCGTGAAAGTATGTTTGTCACTGTTCTTGTGATCATATGCTTTGGCAACTCGCTTTTGACTGTTTTGCCGCGTGCTCATCGAATGTATCAATTAATCAATGAGTGGCATTGCAACCATTTTATTGGTCAGCGAGGCCGATTTTCTGTCTCGGTTCAGCCATGCAAGTGTTACACGATGTAATTTCGATTGAGATGCTGATCGTGATTGCAAAATGCAGAAATGAGTTGTTCCTGCTTGAGAAACACGAATCAAATCGAAAGAGCCTGTATGGCACTACTTATTCCTGATACAGCTGCATACGATCATACGATCGATAGTTGTACATAAACAAGTGTTTGACGCATAGGTATGTAGTACGTGCGGTTTGCACCCCGCAAGTTTTCCTGCCCGCGTGTGCCTCATTTTCCGGCATGAAATGGCACCCTTGTAAGCAATTAACAAACTAGTGTCAACCCCTTTTGAACATTAAAAAAACAAATAGGCACCTGTTTTGTTTTTTTCTGTAATTGGAAAGTAAGCGAACTTCTAGGGGGAAAAAAACAACTTCATCCACGTAGGAGAACAGCAAAAAAAAAGCGCTGAAAAAATGGTGACTTCTTTTAATGTATAAAAATGTTGTACAATGACATAATTTACAATTTGAGACTTACGTATATCATTCAAAAAAGGTGACTGTGGTGTATTTAGCAAAACATACTAAATGACATTACACATATGAAAAAATGTACACACAGACGTATGTTCAACAGTTGCATATGTTTTATATAACCAGCTGTTCACATTTGCATAATGATGCCAGAAGCAACAAGAGTGTTATCAACATCAGTTATGGTAAGCCATGGAGGAAGGAAAAATGTTTCCTTCCTCCGTGTGGTAACATAGAAGTGTGGCAGCTTGGGCTAGTTGGTATGGCATGACGATAGTTATAGCGCGAGAACAAAACGACGACCCAGAGACAAGAAGTGTCCTTCTTGTCTCTGGGTCGTCGTTTTGTTTTCGCGCTATAACTATTGTCATGCCGTGTGGTAAGGTGATATGTAGGGCTTGCGCTCTTACGGGTGATAGTCCCGGACACTTCTACATAAATATACTAAAGTGTATGGCACTTAACTATACGCTCTAAAAAATATCGAGTAAAAAGGGTGTCTTTTTGTCCCACAACAATAATCATCATCAGGCTTGCGTGCACTTCCTTTCTTGAAAACTCGGCGCTGGCCACTTTCCTATCGAGGATGCAATGTAACCCTGATAATGGGCATGTCGATCGTGACCGGAGTGTACCGGGCGCAGGGCGATAGCGCAAGGATGAAACGCAATAAAGATGACGATTATTGTTGTGGGACAAAAAGACACCCTTTTTACTCGCTCTTTTTTTAGAGTGTACAATCAACGTGAACTGATCATGACAGCTGCATCATAGGAGTGCATGTGTAATTTTTAGAAAATTCTATAGTTAGCATTGCAACTGCAATTGACCTTTCAAGCAACAGTGTGTCTGAGTGGTGTCTATTTCCACAGCAGTTTCGAGACCTGGTGTGGCTCTGTGGTAGAATACTTGATTGCCATGCAGAATATTTGATTTTCATTTCATGAGTGAATTAAATTACTGTGAGCCCGCATTAACAGTATTTGTGCTGTGAAGTGCTTTTTCTGCTGGTAAAAACAAAAAAGTCATCACCACGCCCCCCTCTGCGGTGTTACTTTAGGTGACCGCACCCCCCCTAAAATGAGTGGCTGGATCCGCCCCTGGCTTCACATGCACCAAATTTGGTGTTACGTGACATCAATAGATGACGAAGGTATATGACTGGTGCAAACATTATAAACATGACATGCATGTCATGTAAGAACATGACATCATACCATGCTCATGATGCATTCACAGCTGTTTTGCTCACTTCACATATAATGAACTTGGTAATTATGTGAGGTAAATGGATGATGAAGGTAAATGACACATCCAAACATGATAATGTTAATATGCATGTCATCTAAAACATCACTACATGCTACGCTCATAGCTGGCTCGCGGCCGTTTTGCTAGCTCCACATATACCAAATTTGGTATCGCGTGGCGTGAATAGACGATGAAGGTAAAATTAAGACATGTCCAAACATAATAATCATGACACAGAAGTCATGCTCAGTAT